TAAATAAAGGGAGACTAGTATAGATCTATTTCAAGCTATTTAGCCCTCATCAGCTAGCCATAGCGTTACTGGGATTCGAACCTGGGCTGTATTACATATTAGGCAGATGTGTTAACCACTAAGCCACAGACTCTCCTCCTTTATCAGCTAAGCCAGGGAAATACGTATGCATTGTGTGTATTGGGCAAACCAGGGGTTGTTACCTGATCAAAATCCAGGCACTTGGCAACAAGCTTGTATTTATGACAGTTGCAGCATTCCAGGGTAATATGATTTCCATCTGTGACCTTCTCAGCTGTCTTCTGACAAGCAAAGTCAATGGGGGAAGCTGGATTTGCTTAATGAACTCTCTGATTCACTTAAGTAATTTATTTAACAAGTCTAGCAATAAAGGACATAAAATTGGGCATGATTCACTTAACAAATGTCTTGTTTAACAACAGAAATTCTATTCTCAATTGTTGTCATCTGTCGAGGACTACCTGCAGTAGACTTGTTAAATGCCAAAGAAAGACCCTAAGTCCAAGCTGAGATTTCATATTTTCTTTTCAACTAAGATTTCATTTTTTCCCTCTCAGCTTAGGTTTTATTCTTTCAAATATTTATTCATCTATCATTCTTTATACATCTTTGGATTTTGAACTATGTCTGGAGGGCAACCTGACTTAAATTTAAGTTCTGCTTCAATACTAGTCACAATAGGAGAGGAATTGAAATGTTTTAGATTTTTTTAATTTTTTGGAAACAAAAATCATTCAATGTTTTTGAAATGTTTGAAATGTTTAAATTTTAAATGAACTTCTAAAATGTTTTAAAATTATGGCAATTGCAAGAGGAAAATATAACCTTAAAAACATAATCATGGAAAAAGAGACTGATAGTTTTGTGATTTGCAAAACATGTTCCATGTATATATATGCCTGCCCATAGAAGACCCAAAGGGAACATGCACCAAATGTAAACTAAATGAAATACATGAAGAAAAAATAACCATGCAGGTCTATCCACTCTGAGACGCTTTCAGACTCTGTCAACAAGAAGCGCCAACATCTGGTCAAGAGACATCATCAAGTGTACCAATTGCAGAAAAAAGAATAGACTAGACTTGTTTAAGAAAAAAAAAAGATGTTTAATGGTGATAGTCAATCCTACAAGAATAAATTTATCCACCACGGTACAGTTGTTGCCATGCATATATTGTGTGCTCAGTATTCTGGGGTTTAAGAAAAAATAGAGTAATTTGGTTGCTTTTTTTTTTAGGGCAAAGAGATTTAAATTGTAAATGTTATTGCATACCGGATGTGCAAAACTAAACATAACATACTGAAAGATGCCATTAATGTGAGTGTGTGTGTGTATGTATGTGTGTGTGTTTATAGTATTTATATATGTTTATAAATAGTTAAAACGAGGTGGCAAACATATCTAATGCTTCTGCCTCCCATTTCCCCCACCAGAACAACTCTCTAAGGTTGGTTGGGCTGAGAGAGGTCGCTCAGCTGGCTTTTATGGTGAAGGGAATCTAGAACTCACAATCTCCTGGTCCCCTGAACCAAAGGGGTTTAAGAACCACATAGTGTCTACGTAATTGAATAATTGTTTCCAACACTTGCTTTCACCCATGCATCAGAATGCTATAGAATCTTTATAATTGGAAATCCTTAGCTGTCTAGAGTGTGCATTAGAATTTAATATTTGTTTCTCTAAATAATTCTCACTAAAATAATTCGTGTACATGTGTAGGATTCTAGTTTCATTAATACTGGCTGCCAACAAGGAAAAATAGAAAAAATGTGCTTTGTCTTTGGTTCTGTAATTCCAAACAGGGAAATGGATGTTTATTCTGCTCAGTGATATGACACATTTATTGCATGAATGAAAGAAATTCAGCACAAAATCTGAAGTAAAAAATCTGAAGTAAAAAATAACTCTAAAATGATTGGAAATGATTATTATTTGAAATGTTTTTTTCATGGCATTTCTAACTTCTCTATTCCTGAAACTATGTATCAGGGGTGTCAAATTCAAGGCCCATAGGCAGGAGACAGCATGTGCAGTGCTTAATCCTGGCCTGTGGTGGAGCTGTAGAAATGGTGGAGGACCATTCTGTGGTGCCTCTGCCAGTGAAAATGGAGTTTGAGAGGGCCATATGCGACCCTCCCAAGCCCCACTTTAGGCCTGGACAGCCTCCTGCAGCCTTCTGCCAGCAAAAACCATCTTCACTGGCAGAGAGCTAGCAAAACAAACTAAAAGCAAAACAAAACAAATGGAGAAATGTTTCCCTTTTTGCATTTGTGCATCCAAGAAGAGACAGGTAAGGAGAAAGGGAAAGAGGAAAGACCAAGAAAAAGAAGGAAAGATGTGAATAGAGCAAGGAAGGAAAAAGAAGGAAAGAGGGGAAGGAAGAAGAAAGGAGAATGAATAGGGAAGGAAAAATAAGAAAAGGAAGGAAGGAAGGAAAGAAAGAAAGACAGAAAGAAAGAAAGAGAAAGAAAGAAAGAGAAAGAAAGAAAGAGAAAGAAAGAAAGAAAGAAAGAAAGAAAGAAAGAAAGAAAGAAAGAAAGAAAGAAAGAAAGACCAACCTGCCTTAGCACTTGGCCACAAATAGATGGCAAGGCTCCTCTGGAGGACAAGTGTTTGGCGCTCTCCCTTGTCTCGCCTTCCTCCAGACAATGGATCTCCCTAGCCTTGGCTGAGGGATGCCCCTGAAACAAGTGATATCGAGCTGGCCACCTCCACCCTGGCCATGCCCCCTGGCCCCCCAAGGTCAAACACAACTGTGATGTGGCCCTCAATGAAATTGAGTTTGACACCCCTGTTATATATGGTGGGGTTCAGTATAGGAATGATCACAACATAAAAAACCAATACAATCTTGTCTTGCTCCAAGGAATAGCTGGAGCTAGGGCACAACTACATGGAAAGAAGAGTCCCATAGAAAGTGCAGACAACAATCAGATGGGAAGAATAGGTTGAGAATGCTTTGTAAATACTTTCAAATGAACACATTTGGAGGATCGTGGCAATAGGAGATTACCACTATGGATGTGGTGGATCAATTAGGATTTAATCCTCATAAAATCCTGCAAAGGCAAAGAGCAGAATATGAACAAGTTGGATGTCAATAAAGATGAGTCAGAGGAGGTCCATCACAGAAGAAATGGTTGATGATGTTGGAATGACAGCAGGTTAATCTTAAACGAAATCCCACTTGTATGGATGCATTCAGAAGTCCAGCTATGTAGCAGAATATCACTAATGAAATGCAGACAGTTTTGGACATGATAGTAGTATATTTTAGTGGATTGCAGATGTCCACATATCGGTCATATGACATCACAACCACAAGGTAGCATTCAATAGTTGCAAAATAGCAATATAAGTATTGCTGTAAGAAACATCCAGTGTATGAGATGACTTTCTTCCGTGCTAGGAAATTCATCAGCGTCTTTGGGGTAACAGCAGTTGAGTAGCCAGTAAAGAACAGTAAAGATGAGTCAGAGGAGATCCATCACAGAAGAAATGGTTAATGATGTTGGAATGGCAGCAGGTAATATTTCCATCATGTAGATAGTATTTAAGTTGGTTAAAATGAAATTAGCATAAAAAGTTTCTTCCTACATTTTCTTAGAAGAGGTACTAGGAGCCCTTGTAGAAAAAAACATGATTTAATACGTCCATAAAGACATGACAGAGATTTCATCATATAGGGCACCAGAGAATCTAACTGCAAAGTGTAACACATTCAAATGAAAAAAAATGTGTATAAAGAATAGGCACCTTAATTTAAGGAAAATCATTTTAAAACTAAGAAGGTGAGGTAAACATCTTGTTGAACTTCTCCACAGCATTGAGAGGTTCTATTAAGATCATTCTCAGTGATACCCTGTAGATGTTTTTTTTAATTAATGAACTTTCAGAAACAACAAAGTGTTTCCTTCATAGTAAAATAAAAATACTTTACAGTGATTTAAATAAACTCAATTTATGAAAATGAAAATAAGGGAAAATAAAATCCATATAGTATCAATGTAAGATTAACTCAATCCCTTAACTGATAATTAAACCTAGATCATAAGAACATATTGCCCCATCCTTTCCCTTCTAGTACTATATATAAAGGCATTTCAAAACCTGATAGCAAACATATATCTTGAATCTATTCTTTAACTTCAGGAAAATAAGATTTTTTCCATCTGTGTAAAATTATTCTCTTTGCTGAACCCAAGATTAGTAAAGCCAAAATTCATCATAAAATGCTAAAACCTATATTTTAGATATAGAATTCAACATCACATTTATGCCTTAAATATACAACTGTGTTAACATAATTTGTAACTTAAAACCAAAAATGAATTATGACTGAATAGAATTAAATCATATGAGTAAAAATGAAACAACCTATCATCACCTCTCAAATTTCTTGTAGTGCCAACAGAAACAAAACAAAATTGCATAATCAAACCTTTTTTTAACATTATTTGATGGTCCAGTAATTGTGATTACCTTCATTTTTAAATTGTAATATTTCTATTTCTGGATTGAATCCATTGATTTTCTAAAACTAGGAATGCTCAATAATTATTTTAAGATGTCAGAAGCTTTTTCAAAATGTTTGGTATATGGAAGTTCAACCATCGCTAACAAATGCTTCCTAATAACAGATGTTGCAAAAAATGAAGAATCTGTTTTGCTTGTTGTTACTAAAGGAACAACAACAACAACAACAATAACAACAACCCTTCTTGGAACAGCTTATATCCTCCAACGTTACCTTAACAGTTCCTAGGTCCTTGGTTAGGACTTGAGCTGTTGAGTTACCAACCAGCCTCAAAGGCTGTGAATCTCACCAAAGATTAACAAAATAATAACAATAACAACAACAATAACAATCAAAACTACACGGCTATGCATGAAGCATGTAACCCATTGTCATCGGGGCACTTGGCACCATGTCAAGAATTTTATAAGATACATCAAATTGCAGCTTCCTGCAATAACACCAGCAGAACTGCAAAAAACTGTGCTACTCAGAACATCATATATTTCAATAAGATACTTGGTTGATACCTAGGACGCTGACAGCAACCCGTATCAACCATTAGCACCAGTCACTGGTATTTGTTCAGTTGGCTGAGATTCATGTTTAAGGAATAAATTATATAATAATATTCAGAATCCAGTTATAGGGTGTGAAT